ATCCATTTACCTACACACGTCTGCAGTTTATCCTTCTTTATGGCTGAATAATACTCCATTACATAAAAGACCACATATTTTTTATCCATTCCTCAGTGGATGGGCCTTTGGGTTGTTTCCAAGATTTAGCTATTACAAATTGTGCAGCTATAAAGAGAGGTCCACATATCTAGCTGTGGTATGATGTTTTCAGCTCTTCTGGGAAGACACCTAGAAGGGGAATAGCTGGGGCAAATGGGACCTGGGTTCCATTCTGTACCAGTTAGATAAGTTGCAAGACTTAGGATGAAGTTTATTTATTTATTTATTTATTTATTGCCTATGGATGTCCAATTACTTTGGTATCATTTGTTGGAAAACCTATTTTTCTTTGTTGTTTTTTGTATCTTTTCCAAAGTCACTTGGACACATTTTGGAAAATCTATAATTGCCAGACTCTGGGCTTTTAAAATTCATTTCTTGTCATAAAATAACCTGTGAAATAGTTCTTATCTCCATATTTTTATAGTTAAGTAACCCTCAGAATACTTAGAGCTATGATTCCATTCTGTCTTTCTTCCATAGTAGCTACTTCTTATTTATTTAACTTTTATTTAGCATTTTCTATATGCCAAACATTGCGCTGAGCTTGAGGAAGTATGAACTGAACAAGACTTACTGGGATGCTTCATAGAAAAACAGACAAAATCAAGAGCTCAAAGGATGAGCACAAATCTACAAAGAGGGCAGGAAGAGCATTCTAGATGGAATAAAAATATATAAGAAGGCTGGGAAGTTTGCAACAGCTTTATACCTTCAGGAAGCAGCAAGTATTTTGTTATAGCTGCACTTACAATCCCAGAACTCTGGCAGCCTGAGGCAGGAGGATCACAAGTTTGCAATGTGGGCAATTTATGAAGACCCTGTCTCAAAATTTTAAAAAAACGTCTGGGGTGTAGCTTAGTGCGAAGGTCCACATTCACTCTTCAGTACTGCTTTAAAAAAATGGAACTAGAATTTTTCATTAAATGTAATATTTGCAAAGTTAATGATTATAAAAATGTGGACTATTATTGTGGGACTTTACAATGTGGCAGTTTGATAATGGTGATAAAAATATGTAAAAAATAGTAGCAAGACCCCATCTCAAAAAGAAATCCCATTCAGATGTGAGGCTTTTGGAAGGTGATTGGATCTCAGGAACAAATCCACTTACTTCTTAGCTCAGTGTGCTGTTAGGAGGAGGGGCCTGGGCAGAGGAGCTGGGTCACCAGAGACATGACCTGGAAAGGTGTATTTCTGTCCTAGGCTCTTTCAGTGCTCTCTCTCTGCTTCCTGACTGGCATGGGTCGAGCAACTTGCCTCTGCCAGGCCCTTCCGCCCTGCTGTGTCTGCTTTAGAGCCCGCCAGCCATGGATGGAACTTTCTGAAACCATGCACGGTATTTCCTTCAGGATAAAAAAGGCTAGATAAAAAATGGAAAGAAAAATTCAGTGAGCTTGAGTATATTTCAAGAAAGCAAACCAACTATATAACGAAGGAAATTCTTCTAATTATTAATACAAAAGAATTTTCATCTGATATTTCCCCAAGAATTAGGATTTTCACATTAAATTCAAAAACTGATATCTCCATCCTCCCCCCCCCATGCTCTTTACATTGTGTTTCCCATAAACACATAGGATGCCTCTGGTAGTGGGCTCAGTATTGCCCCCCCCCCTATTTTTTGTGTGCGTTCTTATTTGGAAATATAACCTTTGCAACTGTAATTAGTTAAGGATGTGGAGAGAAATCATTCTGGGTTTAGGGTGCCCTTCAGTCCACTGACTATTGTCTTTGTTGAAGAAAAAGGATTCACATACAGACAGGCAGACAAAGAGACGCATGTGAAGATGCAAGCAGATATTGCTGAAATCCACTAGCAGATAGGAGAGAGGTGTGGGGTGATTTCTTCCTCAGCACCCCCAGAAGCAATCCACCTTAATGACTCCTTCATTTTGGACTTTTGGTCCCTAGAATGGTGAAAGAATACATCTCTGTTGTTTTAAGCTATCTGATTTGTGGTTGTCCAGAAGTTTAACATTTTCTTTTCCCACCTAAGTTTCTATAATTTTAGCCTATGAGATAATATTGCAATATAGATAGACTAACAAAAAAAATAGATTTATTAATAGGAGAGACATAAGAGCCATGCACACAATATGAAATTCAAAGAAAGCTCAGAGAGTTGAAACTTAAATAGTGTTTTAAATGGACAGTGATGCAAGTCCTAGAAGGGTGGGAGGAAAGTGCACCACACAAAAGTTGCCCTTTCAGGTGTATGAACTCTCCAGGCAACAGTCATCAGAAGGCCACCTCTGATCATCTCTGTCTAGATCACTGTCAGATTCCCAATCTCCTCCTCTTGTGAAAAGCTCTCTGCTCCACACATGGGGGTGGGGGCGCAAGGCAAGCCTGTTTGTACCTGTGGTTTACTTCTACTATAGCTTCAGATCTGCCCCACAGAGGACAGCTTTTCAGAGCTGCACCTGCATCTGAAAACCTTCTGAATATCATCATGAAATATGCTAAAGAAGCATATTTTGGGGTGGCCTATTTTGATCTTCTTCATGGTAATTTTTTTTTTTTTTTTTTTTTTTAAGACAAGGTCTCACCATGCATCTCAGGCTGGCCTCGAACTCTCAAAGATCCTCCTGCCCCAGCCTCCTCTCCTGAGTGCTCGGATTATAGGCATAAGACACCATGCCTGGCTTCATGGTAATTTTTTATAGCAGCTCCAGAATACTAATATAGCCCCTATCTGTCACCATCTTCTGAGGCTGCCACAAGGGTCATTATATGGTTAATCTCTATATTGATTAAAAGATGTCCTAAAATTTTATAATTGGTATTTATTATATGGAGAGGAGCATGTTCACATAGCTATGCTAAGAGTCAGTTTTTTTTTTTTTTGGTACCAGAAACTGAACTCACGACCTCATGCCTGCCAGGCAGGAGCTGTGCTGCTGAGCTATATCCCTGGCCCCAAGGTTAGTTGTTAATTTTAGTTTTAAGACACAGGGTTCATGTTGCCCAGGCAAGTCTTGAACTGAAGTGGTCCTTCTGCATCAGTCTCCCAAGTACCTGATTAAGCACACACCACCTCAACTAGCAGGAGGTAGTTTTTCAGATGTTCACAATCTGAAAATTAATTCCAAATGTAAGGGGCTGAGGATTTAGCTCAGTGGCACAGCGTCTACCTGGCAAGTGCAAGGTCATGAGTTCAATTCCTGGTACTGGAAGAAAAACAAAAAAGAAAAACCAAATGTAAACTAGCTTTATTTACATAGTTTGCACAAATCCTCAATTATTTACATTTCTTTTTGGCAGCTTAGTGTCAGTTTTCCATCCTCTTGCAATTAATATGAATTAGAATAAGCTCATTTAATTAGTTAATATTTATTTCCTAAGATCAAACACTCTTGATTGGTAGCCTGAGAGAAAGCTAAGATTGTTAATGATCATATTCTCCCCACCCCCCTCTGCAGGAACCCAGCTTTTAACACATGTTAGGCAAGTGATCTACCAAGGAGCTATACTCTCAGCCTTAATTTAACACTGGTTGTTTTAAAACCTGACAGAAACGTGCATTGCTAGACATTACCTTAGTCTAAGAATTTTATGTCATTAGAGCTATTCACTTAGCAAATAACTAGCGTGCTTGTAAAGAAAAAGCCTGAAATAATAAACTGTGGATAACTGCTAAACATAATAATAACCACAATAAAAGAGATTAAGGCTCCTGCTAAACATAATAACCACAATGAAAGATATTAAGGCTCCTGCTGAACATAATAACCACAATGAAAGATATTAAGGCTACTGTTAAACATAATAACCACAATGAAAGATAGTAAGGCTACTTACTTATTAATTGGGATGGTTTTAACCAGATGGTGGATTTTGGTAAAAGTCCAAAGATGGCATTCAATGTTTAATAACATCTCAGGCTCAGTTTACATTTTTATTTTTGCCATTGCACATCTCTGTGATTTTGAGGCCTACAGGTAGATTCTAATGGTATATTTATCTAAAGATTTTATCAAATTTGCTTTATACAGTGAGACCTTAAATACTGGATTTCATTTGTAAGTATTTGTGTCCTCAAAGTCAAATTTCAGATGGTTTAAATTTTGATGTGTAGGGGCTGGGGATTTAGCTCAGCGGCAAAAGCGCCTGCCTGGCAGGCGCAAGGTCGTGAGTTCGGTTCCCGGTACCGGAGAAAAACCAAAAAAAAAAAAAAAAAAAAATTTTGATGTGTATCTTGATCTTAAAATATATTTAAAATATCCAGAGCCAGGTATGGTAGTGCACACCTGTAATCCCAGCACTCTGGAGGCTGAGAGAGGAGGATCCATGTGAGTTCCAGGCCAGCCTGGGCTACACAGTGAGTTGGAGGCCAGCATGGACTGCATAGTGAGACCTTGTTTAAAGAAAAAAGTATCCAATAATAGAACAGTTAGTAACAAAAATTTATATATATGCGAGAGTATTATCCTAAGATGAGTAATTAGAGGCCAAGATTGCCAGAGAAAGGAACAGATAGCAAAATGGGCACTACCTGTAGGGGGCAATGAATCTTAGCATATTATTTTAGATAAAATAGTTTTGGTAAAAGCCTACATGGTGTCTTGGGAAGCCTCCCAGGACAGCGTAAGAGCTAATTCTCTAGATCAACACTGCCCAGGAATGTCTCCCCAAGATAAGGGGGCGCCTAGGCCTAGGTGACCCTCTGTGACCCTGCCTGGGCAGTTCTGTCTCCTGGCCCTAGGTAAACATTGTAACCATAAAGGAAATGTTATCTAAAGGGGGATATATAAAACAGAGTACAGAAAGTATATATCATTGTGGTTGGGCTCATGACTGGAGCCTGACCAGGTTACATGGCACAAGGAAAACAACATGTGGCCAAGGCTATAACATTCCTTTCTGTTACCATGGAAACAAAAAATGTATATAACCTGGGAACAAAGACAGGTCCACGCCCACTTCCCGGACTTGCAAATCGGAATGAGAGGTGACAGGTCTAAATTAAAAACTTTGCCTATTCTCTTTGGTCTCTTGTGGAATACAGCCCGAATTTTTGCCGTAACATACCCTTGTAACTTAATGGGAAATTCATAATCTTCAAATATATTTATACATGATAGCGTCTATAATACAGAAGTAACTTACAAACATTTAATCTTTACCCAATTTTCTTAGGGCACTTTCTGAATAACATACATAATTACCTGTAGGAGTTTAGGATCTAAAAAGATCTTACAAATGACAAATTTTTTAACCTGAAAAGATAGTACCCAAATTATGTTGAATGTACAAGTGAGCAGAACGAAATAATTATCATATGCTTACTTAAAATTATCATATGCCTGTTATTTACTATTGTCAAAAGAGATAAGCATATGTTATATTTGGATTTGTTCTCATGTGATATAATCATAAGTAAGTAGAATTGAGATAGATCAGTACTAGCCTAACCCCTCCTTTTTCTCCTTGACAGCCAGAAGGGGGTGTACTTTGATTGACAGCTACAGCTGAGGCTGACCTAAATGCCCTCAACCATTTCAGGAGATGTCTTCCTGGGACCACAGAAGGCTTAAATTTGAACCAATCAGCAGCCTCAAATTTGGACCACTCCTGGATGACTCCACCCCATGACCTCTAAAGGGCTCTGCCCCAGAAGACTTGAGAGCTCACCAATCCCAGCTGACTTTGCTCTCTAGCCAATCCTGGATAACCCTACTGGGTCAAGCCTTGACATTCAGACCAATTCTAGATGACCCCGCTGCCCCGCTGCTCTATATAAACAGCACTCCTTCCAGCTCCTTGGGTTAGTCAGACCAGCTTCCTCTGGATTGTGTGAGCCCCTCATCTTTTCGTGCAGCCCAGGTCTAAATAAAGCTTCCTCTGGTTTGTCCTGCATTTCTACTAGTGATTTGTTTCTTGAGTAGTGTGGATTAGAAGGTCCAGGCTTCTCTGAGAAGCGTGGGCAGAGCAGATGACATTTAAAAAGAACTACAAACACCAGGTGCTGCTAGTCCTAAAGCATTCCAGAGATCAGTGGCAGAAATCCATAAAGATCAGTGGAGATCAGCAGCAGAGACCAGAAGCGACTGGGTCTGTGAACAACTGCCGCCAGCCAGTGGTGACCAGCAGCGGTGACCAGTTTTAACCGGCCACACTGAGTGGCAGAGACCAGCAGCGTTTGGTGGAGACCAGCAGAGGCAGGGGAAGCTGCTGGCAGAGCTCTGGGTGGCAGCCAAGGGTTAGCTTCAGCTGCTTAGGAGCTGGTGGGGGTGGCTGAGAGCCTAGAGCTGTAACAATAAGGGCCCAGAGCCACCTGCTCTCAGAGCCTGGAACTTCTGATGGAACTGCACTTTGTCGATTTGTGATATTCATTCACATCCAGCAAAAGAACACTCTGTCGGCTCACAAAATTAAGCAACACGTTGAACATTAATTTAAGCCTGGATATCTCAATCTTGCTGCTATGAACATTTGGGGCTGGATGAGCCTGTTGTGAGTGTCCTCTGTGAACTATGGAATGTTTAGCAACACACCTGGCTTCTAGCCACTAGAAGCCGCCCCTCCTTCGTGCAAACAGAAATGTCTCCAGACATTGCCAAATGTTCCTTGAACAAAACTGACCCTGGTTAGAACTGGTTTTGGTTTTTTTTTTTTGGCTAGGAAAGAGAAAGAAGCAACTTTCATTCAGTTTTGCAACCTAAAATAAAAAGTAGTGTTTTGTAACAAGAGCTTAGTTTTATTTATTTATTATTACTGTTTTTGCAGTGTTAAGGAAAAACCCAGGGTCTTGCTCAGGCACACTCTATCACTAACTACATCCTTTGGAAAACAGCTTAGATTTACTTATTTATTTTTGAGACAGGGTCTCTCTATCTAGTCCAGGCTGGTCTTGAACTTGCCGCGATGCCCCTGCCTCAGCCTCCCCAGTGCTGGGATTACTGGCGCGTGCCACTATTTCCAGCCAAATCAGCTTAGTTTTAAATCCTTACTCTTTGCACCAGCCTCAGTGTACTCACCTTACCTTGAACCTGTCTCTGTGGTTGCACTCATCACGGTTCATTATTATTTTAAAATATGGGGCCGAGTCCTTTCCTGTCTGTGAACTCTCGCAGGACCGAGACAATGCTTTACTTTGGACAGCGGCCAGAGTCCATTACCCGAATGACCTTTTGTGCCAGTTAAACAAGATGTTCTCAGTGTAGAGGGCCTCTCTGCGGTTCATTTCTTTTTAAAGATATTGAACACATGTTTTGCCTTATGCCTTTCAAACATTTCCATGAAATTAAAATACAAAGTGACCTTACCCTGATACTTTATGACGGAACTTTGGGTAAGTGAAGCATGTTACACTGTATTTTTTTCTTTCCACTTTGAGTCAGAACACCACCTGCACAGTACACAGCAGAAGAGAGTGAGAACAACTAGGACTCAGTATTTTGGAGCTTTAGTAGTTGAGTCGAGAACAGTCTCGCTCTGCTTAGGAAGGTAACAGCGTCCACGAAAGTGCATTCCAGATGCGGGATATATAAGAATAACACAAGTTTCCTCTAGTCTGGCTCTGAGGTTGGAATGCAAATATGCAGATGTGTGTTAATTTTCGGGCCTTGACATCTTTTCTGAGGCATTTAACTCCACCTCCTCGGCGAGAAAGGAAAAACAACGCCCCCATCCCGCCCTCGGCCGCCTCCTCCTTTCCCTTCGGTCCTCTCCTGTTACAGAAGTTCGCATTTTTCCTAGAGAGCTAGAGGAAAGTCAGGTACCAACAGCAGAATTATACTATCCGCCTGATTGTTCTGGTGGGGCAGCAGGAAATCGCACCCTGTAACTGATTCTCCGGGGCGAGAGAACCAATGAACCCCTGAAAACTTCGGGCCGCCTTTGGCACCAGGTTTGATTGACAAGGACCAACCAGGGAGGGGGCGGGACTGGGGTCCGCGGCCCGGGCCGAGACAAAGGGGTTCTGGCTGGCACCAGCGGGAAGGCCCGCTGGGCCGGCCCGGGCGCTCCGAGGGGGCTTCGGTGAGGCCGCTGTCTCGTCCCGGCCGAGGCCCGGCGGCCGGGCGCCGGGAAG